TTTACAAAGTGGTCTCCTGTACCAACTCGTTGAAGAGGATCTCCCACTTTCTCTTTTAAAAGTTTCAGCATGGATGGATTTATGCTGAGGTCTTGTTTTGTGCATGGTAATAGACATGTATCTATCTGCAGTCTTTTACAGTCCAGCATCCAGTTATGCCAGCACCATTTGTTGAAGATGCTTTCCTTTTTCCAATGTATATTTTTAGTTTCTTTGTCATAAATCAAGTGTTCATAGGTATGTGAGTTAGTATCAGGGCTTTCAATTTGATTCCATTGGTCTACCTGTCTATTTTGTGTTAATACCAAGCTGTTTTCAGAACTATTGTAATAGAGCTTCAAGTCAGGGATGGTGATGTCTCTGGACATTGATTTGTTGAACTATCCTAAGTCTTTTGTTTATTCATATAAAGCTGAGTGTTGTTCTTTCAAGATCTGTGAAGAATTGTGCTGGTATTTTCATGGGGATTACATTGAATCTGTAGATTGCTTTTTGCAAGATTGCCATTTTTACTATGCTAATCCTACCAATCCAACAGCATGGGAGATCTTTCCATTTTCTGGTGTCTTCTTTAATTCCTTTCTTTTAAGAATCAAAGTTCTTGCTGTGCAGGTTTTTCACTTGTTTGGTTAGTGTTGTCCCCAAATATTTTATATTGTTTGTTGCAATTGTAAAGCTGATGTTTCTTTGATTTCTTTTGCAGCCCTTTTATTGTCTGTATATAGTAGGACTACTAATTTTCTTGAGTTGATATTGTATCCTGACATTTTGCTGAAGCTGTTTATCAGCTGTAAGAGTTCCCAGGTAGAGTTTTTTGGGTTACTTATGTAAGCTATCATATCGTCTGCAAATAGTGAAAGTTCAGCCTCTTCCTTTCCAATTTGTATCCCCTTGATCTCCTTTTGTTTTCGTATTGTTCTAGCTAGAACGTTATTAAAGAGGTATGGGGAGAAGGGACAGCCTTGTCCTGTTCCTGTTTTTAGAGGAATTGCATTGAGTTTCTGTCCATTTAATTTGATGTTGGCTGTTGGTTTTCTGTATATAGCTGTTATTATGTTTAGGTATGTTCCTGTTATGCCATATTTCTCCAAGACCTTTATTATGAATGGGTGTTGAATTTTGTCAAAGGATATTTCAGTATCTAGTGAGATGATTATGTGATTTTTGTTTCTCAGCTTGCTTATATGGTGGATTACAATGATGGATTTTCACATGTTGACCAATCCCTGCATCCTCGGGATGAAGCCTACTTGATCATGTTGGATTATTTTTCTGATGTGTTCTTGTATTCCATTTGCCAGTATTTTTGCGTCAATGTTCATGATGGGTATTAGCCTGAAGTTCTCTTTCTTAGTTGTGCCTTTGTGTGGCTTGGGTATCAATGTTTTTGAAGCCTCCTAGAAAGAGTTTAGCAAAACCCTTCTGCTTCTATTGCATGGAATACTTTCAGGAAAATTGGTATAAGCTGCTCTTTTAATTTCTGGTAAAATTTGGATTTTTTTGGTTGGGTGACTTTTGATGATTGCTTCTATCTCCTTCGCTGTTATAGGACTATTAAGTTGCTTATCTGTTCTTCATTTAATTTTGTTCTTCATTTAAATTTTAATTTTGTAGAGCATAGGTTTTTAAAATGTGACCTGATGATTCTCTGGATTCCCTCAGTGTCTGTTTTTATGTCCTCCTTTTCATTTCTGATTTTGTTAATTTTCATGTTCACATTCTGCCATTGGGAAGGTTTGGATAAAGATTTGTCTATATTGCTGATTTTCTAAAAGAACCTACTGTTTGTTACATTGATTCTTTGTATTGTTTTCCTAATTTCTACCTTATTGATTTCAGCTATCAAATTACCAATTTCTTGGCATCTGCTGCACTGGAGTGAGTTTGCTTCATTTTTTTCTAAAGTTTCAAATGTGCTGTTAATTCTCTAGTGTGACTCTTCTCTAGTTTCTTCATGTGGGTACTTAGTACTATGAACTTTCCTCTTAGCACTGTTTTCAACGTATTGCACATGTTTGGGTATGTTGTATCTTCATTCTCATTGAATTGTAGGAAGATTTTAATTTCATTTTTGTTTCTTATTTGACCCAGGAATGGTGCAATTGCTCATTATTCAATTTCCATCAGTTTGTAGGGTATTAACGGGCTTAAAGAAAGACACGGGTAATTTAGTCTTGAATCTGTAACATCCCAACTCTCTAAAATCACCAAGTTCCATACAGTCAATCTGAATTTTGGAGGATTCATCATAACTTTATCTTTAGTTTCTAAAGAATTTAGAATTTATATTTTTAAATGCTTCAAAATAAATATCTAATACTACTCTTTTGCATGTTGATATCCACATTTCTCACACTTTATATAGAAATAGTATATTTTTATTGTATGTTTTAAGGGGGTTTATAGAAACCAATTTATAGAAGCTTATTGTTTTTTTTTCAGAGTTCTCTATTTCTTCTCACTAGTCTATATATAGGTATATATTCCTGGAGTTTCACAGTGGTTAAAATAGGAATCATAATGATTCAGTTTTCTCCTGAATATTGCTTTGACTGTTTGATATCTTCTATGATATAAAATTAGTAAAGAAAGATAGAATTTAAAAAACTAACACAAAGTACATGTTACCAATTATTCTCTAGCCAAATTTAGTTGAGATGGTGTCTGATGAATTTGATAATCTTCAAGAAATTTTAACTTTAGACTATATTCGCATGTCTGGTCCCATCCATTATAATTACGAACAGTTCTCATTTCCCGACCCTTGGCTCAAAAACCAATCTGACTTTTAATTTTGTCCATGGTCTGCAATCTATTTCATGTGTGGGGAGAGATTATACATAAGAAGTAAGAGGAAGTTAGAAAATGGTGGAATCAGACTTAAAGCAGCTTGAAGTTCTCCTGCAGCACACCGAGCCCAATCTAAATTATCAAGCAATGCCCTAGACCTACGTCTAAATACTTCATAGGAGCCAAATCAGTGGCAAACTACTATGGGAGATACAGCTTGTCCTCACCCTTTTCTCTTTTTACATTTCTCTGAATTTTTAACAACTTTTTCTAGACACAACTCAAAGCAGTCAAGCTGACTCCTTTGAAGTCTCTTGCCACAAAATGCTTCTCTGAACAGTGTCCTTGGAAAAGTTCTTGTAAATTCCAGAACGAAGGAAGTTCATGCTTGGAAAGGATCTTTGTAAAACAAATTTTATGAGAGAGATGGAAGTAAGAATACATAATTGGAATAGCATAAAGATAGTGTTCAGGGGGCTAGAGAGGTGGCTCAGAGGTTAAGAGCACTGAATGTTCTTCCAGAGGTCCTGAGTTCAATTCCCAGCAACGACATGGTGGCTCCCAACTATCTGTAAAGAGATCTGGTGCCCACTTCTGTCCTGCAGGCCTGCATGCACATAGATCGTTGTATACATAATAAATATATCTCAAAAGAACATGTACAATATTCTTTCTACAATAAGAGTTACACTATGATTATTCATCAATAAGTAACATTTTAAGAATTGATACAGAAATGGAAAGGAGTTAAGTGTTATTTAACAATTATAATGTGTGGGAAAGTAAAAGGGGAGGCAAAGAAAAACAAGAAAAGGGAGGGCAGAGAAGAAGAGGAGAGAAATTAAAAATAAGAAAGGAGAAACAACATCAAGTTAAACTGCACCTGACAGGATACATACTTTTTTATAAAACACAAATTGTTAGCATAAAGAAAAAATTCAAATATATGAAGTAATTTGTCATACTATTGTGTGCATGCCTTCAGATACTGTGGTAATGCATGAGAAATTCAATTGCAATTTGGAGAGAGAGAGAGAGAGAGAGAGAGAGAGAGAGAGAGAGAGAGAGAGAGAGCAATTTGCAGGACCTGGTTCCCTACTTATTGTCCTGGGGATTTAACTCAGGTTACCAGACTTGGTATTAGATAAATGTCCACTTACAGCCATCTTGATGAAAAGAGATACAAGCAGATTAGAAAAGCACTTAAAACTGTCCAAATAACATAAGGTATCAAGACTAAAGTCTAGGGGGAGTCAAAAACTATTTTCAAAGACATTACATTACGTAATAGAAAAAATGAAATGAAAAGAAGATGAAGGAAATAGAAAGAAAAAGAAGAAAAGTGTTTTTTTTCTTCACAAACCCAAAGCACACTTTGTGTACCTGGTCAAAACAATGTTCATTCCACAGTTTTTCCTGAGCATCAACTGTTTGACACATGAAGAATTGGAAAAGAATAACTAACTAAGGTGTATCATCTGTTTTTGCACCTTTCTGAATTTGGAGAAATGTGGATGCATATAGCCTACATTTAGGACACTTGCTTATTAAAAATCTTTCATAGCCATAGACTATCACTTCCACTAGATGGCAGAGTCTGATAATTCTCTGGTAAAGCCTTGGGCTATCTCATATTAAAATTTACTTCTCTTAGTTGAATTTGTTCTTTTTGATTTTTCTTGTTTTATTTCTCTGTGTGTGTGTTTTAAGTTTTTAACAGAAACTTTTAAAAATATGTGCATTAAGTGAAGTAATACACAAGAAGCTGAGAACAAAGTTAGCCAGTCAAAGGCTTGATATGTACTTCTAGATGCTGCAAGTTTACATATTTGTAGGTAATTGAGATTATTCAGTATGTACCATGGTTTCACACACAGTGTGAACATTTACCAACTAAAGTCTCTATACCACACGAGTATTTCTATAACCAAGAATACACCATGACATCTCAGTCTGGCAGACTAAATTATAATCCTGTTGTCTTTGCAACCAAAATTTCATAGAAGAAAAAAATGACAACAGGCCCTAAGATAGAAGCACAGTGGAAGTATACTCTTTTATGTTCATATCTCAAGTGACCATCAAAATAATGACTTAGACAAGCTGAACCAACCAGCAGATACAGTGCCTTATTCTGGGGGCTAACCTTTCCCCTTCCCCACCTTCACTAACTGGTAATAGTACCTGTCCAAAGACCAAGTTTAACAATTCCACGCCCAACCCCAGTGTCATCATTCCTCTGAAATAACGAAACAACCCATAAAATGGGTTGTGACCCTCTATTTTTGCTATGCTGTTATTTTTTTACACATTAAAGTATTATCATATTCATGTGAGCACAGGCATGCCATTGCACAGATGCAGAAGTCAATTGTTTCTGTTTCCTCTTTCGTCTACTTGCCCAAGGGGCCTGTGGTTCCGGTAGCTGGTGTGTCCTTTGGTTCAGCAGGGTGCCTCTCCTGGGATTCTGGTGGCCTGCATGTCTTCTGGAATCCTGGGTGCAGTAGTGGCCTCTAGTAAAGCAAGGAGCTTCTACCTGTGTTGAGGCCTGGGATATGGTGATGAATTCCACCAGTGTTCTGGGCCAGGATATGGAGATGATGAGAGGGGGCTGTTGGAGGTAGTCTGGGCTTACCTTGGGTACTGGGTGTTGGTGGGCCCTCTGATAGAACATGGGGCATCCATATGTCTTGTAGGCCAAGATATGGTGACAAGGAGAAGGCAGGCTGTTGGGGAAGGTTGAATTGGTTCTGAGGAAGTGTTGTTGGTGTAGGAGAGAGGACTTTCTTGAGGTTCTTGTAGAGCAGTGGACAGAGTTCTAATAGGTACAAAGTAGAACCCAGAATCACTTAAGAAATCCCTAAGTTGTGAATAATAGTAGTTTTCACTTCAAGGGACACTTAAACATCTACTTAGGATATATTAACCAATAGCCTTTGTAATTACAGTTGGCTTGGAAACATGACTCATTTCTGACACACAGGTCTTCCCTTGTAATCATTCACATTCACTGATTAGAATGTGGTAATCTTAATGTAGTGGGAAGTTATTACACATAAAACAATAAAAATGTTGGCTTGTATTAGGTAGTAACCTTAAATATGTGCAATTTAAAATAATCCCCCCTTTATTGCGTTAAGTAGTTAGGTTTACCTATCATGGAGTACATAGAAAGCCAATTCTATTTGACTGACTCAGAAAATGTGAATTATATAGTACAATGCTACACACAAAAGCTTACTTGCTCACTGTGGAGATAACCGCCTGTATCTCACGTACTTTGTAGTCCAGGCAAGCTGAATTCTATGATCACAGATAGCTTGAAATATACAATAAATACCAGACAAGCTTGGATTATGTGGGGAACTTGGTCACAGAAATTCATCAAACAAAAATGTTGAGAAAAACCAAACTATATCTAAACCACTCAATTCCAACTATCCTTTCAACATAACTTTCTGAAGAATATGTTGTGGCAACCCTATACAGTAGCTATTATTGACAATTGTAAAAACTGAAGCAAAAAGGTGAGCCTTTAGAAAAATCAAATAAGACAAATTAAATAACCAGAAAAATAAAATCCATTTTCTTTTGATTTTTTAATAGAAATAGTTTTTAAGTAAATACTCCTATCTATATACTCTAGAAAAAAATATGAGTTTTTAAAGTTACCTAGAGAAAGCCACTTCTTGGTTCTTGGTATCGTTTGTTATCATGGTCACTAGCAAAAGCCATTCTAGCTATAAATGTTTGATTTCCCCCATGAATGAATGGAAATATCTACATTTATTTTATTTGTAATGAAGAACTTTTTAGAAAATATTTTCATAGTTGGAGGTGCTCCATTGGGGAACAATTCCCTTCTATTGTCAGAACTTTTTATCTGCACAGTTGTAAACACTGGACAATTAAATTATCCACTAAAGCTTGTTCATACGAGTAAACACAGGTGGTGAAGACATTTTAAAGATGTTTCTCTCAGTTCATAAGCGAGCTGTTTACATCCAAAATCCACTTAGGTGTGAGTACATATTATGTTTGTCTTTCTGGGTCTGGGTTACCTCACACAGGATGGTTTTTATATAGTTCCACCCATTTGTCTGCAAATGTAAAATGTCATTGTTTTTTTTTCCTCTGAGTAATATTTCCTGTCTAAAGGTACCACATTTCCTTCTACATTCTTCTGTTGAGGGCCATCTAGAGAAGCTATGTAAAAAGGGGGACTCTAAGAGAGGCTCACATGGAAGGTCCCAGGAAGAAAAAGTTTTGAGATCTCCTGGGTAAACTGTGAATGCATGTAGAAGGGAGGGAAAGGGAATGGGAATATGGGCAGCTAAAATGACTGAATTTGGGGAGGGATGGAAAGGGAGCACAATGAAAGAGATATCTTTATAGAGGGAGCCATTATGGGGTTAGGGGGAAACATTGTACTGGATAAATTCCCAGGAATCCACAAGGATGACCTATAGTGGAGAGAGTGTCTGAACAGGTCTTCCCTTTTAATAAGATTAGTGATTACCCTAAATGATATCATTGAAGTTACATCCAGTAACTGATGGAAGCAGATGCAGAAACCCACAGCCAAACACTGGGCTTAGCTCCTGGAATTCAGTTGAAGAGAAGTAGGAGGGATCATATGTACAAGGGAGGCCAAGAACATGATGGGGAAAACCACAGAGACAGCTGACCTGAATTAATGGGAGCTCACAAACTATGGAATGACAGCTGGGAAACTGCATAGGCCCAAACTAGGCCCTCTGCATGTGGGTGACAATTATGTGATTTGATCCATTGCCGGGTGTGTGTATGTGTGTGTGCTGATAGTAGGATCCAGATCTATCTTGGGTGCATGAACTGGCTTTTGGTGCCTATTCCCTGTGGTGGGATGCCTTGCTCAGCTTTGATACAGGAGGGAGGGTCTTGATCCTGCCTCAACTTGGTATGCTAGGCTTTGTTGACTCCCCAAGGAAGGTTTTAACCCCACAGAGGAGTATATGAGGGCAATGGAAATGAAGGGAGGGGGACCTGGGTTTGGTATGTAAAATGAAAACTTATTTCTTAAAGAAAAAGGAAGCCACAAAATGGTAAAAAGGTTTAAAAATTGAAGGTATTAAAATTAATAATCACAGCATGAAATAATATGTCTCCATAGAAAAAATGCCTGTACCCTCTACTATAAAAATTAAAATTTATGTATTTCCATACTGTCTAAACTATTTAATCCTATTATTTAAATATGGAATTCAACATTATTCTGTCTCAAAACACTGGGAAGTTTATACATTTTAGCTTTTTTATTTATTTAAGTTTTTACACATGTTACTCTCAGTTCCTCTCCCTCTCCTCCTTCCCCTACCCCCCAATCCTACCAGACCCCCCACCCCACTCCATGCCCGCTCTGGTCCCCAGAGAGGGTAAGGGCCTCCATGATGGATTTTCAGACTCTTTCATATCATCCCAGGCAAGGCCTACCTTCTCCCCCATGTGTCCAGGCTGAGAGAGCATCCCTTCATGTGGAATGGGCTCCCAGAGTGCATTGTATGCCAGGAATAAATACTGATCTACTCTCCAAAGCTCCCCACAGATTGCCTAGGCCTCTTCTCTTACACCCTGGCTGGGGGAGTGAGGATGTCTGGATCAGTCCCATGCTAGCCTCTCAGTCATCTCTGGGATCCATGCGTTCCTCCTAGTTTAGGTCAGCTGCCTCTATGGGTTTTGCCAGCCTGATCTTGTGATGGGGAAGTCCTGTGTATATGTCAATTAAGCACTGTTGGCCAATAGGGAAGCAAGATAGGTGTGACTAGGATTTGAGGAAGATTCTGGGAAAGAGAGACATAGCAGAGACAATGTAGCCCACCAGAGAAGTAAGATGTCCTGACCGTTTTCTCTGGTAAGAGAAATACTTAGATTAACAATTATGGGTTAGCCAGTAAGAAACAAGGTCAACAGCTTCATAATTAATATATCCTCCTGTGTGTTATTTGGGGACTGCAACTGTGGCAGAGCGCAAGTGGCTGGCAGGGAATAACCAAAGCGGCTGGCAGAGGAAAACTACAAGTTACATAATGGTGTCAGCATGTGGGATTGAATTTCCACGTAGAACGACAAAAGTGTCAAAGGGATTTTAGAAACAAAAGAATAGAGGGAAGCACAGCTTCTTTAAAGCAGCATTTTTCTCAGGTGAGCTATGTTTTGCTAAAGACAAGCAGAGATTCACATGGCTCACTTAAGGGAGCCTTCCTGACTCAGCATAATCGGAAAAAAAAAGCCAACAAGTTTTTTTTAAGAGGCTGTGATAACAATTGAAAGGTGTGTACATACAGCTGGAAGTGAAAGTGACCCCATCTCCAAGCCAGCAGCTTTTGCTGGATGTCAGCATAGACTGAAGTGATGAGCTGGAGTCAGGCTTATGCCTGCCATCTTGGAAAAACTACAGTTTAAACAGCTGAGGTTTTAACAGATAAAACACATGGCCAGAAAAACATAAAGATTTACAGTAAAGTCAAAGTTGGATAAAGAAAAACCTCTAAAGGTTTACAGTGTGTTTAAAAATATACATAGGATTGAAAGAGAAAAAGAAACTGCATAATGATAAATAAATAGAGAAGACCGATGTGGTGGCACATGCCGATAGGATATACTCCAGACGCAGAGGCAGGCAGATTTCCAGAGAAACCCTGTTTCAGTGAGATTAATAAATAAATAAAAGTAAAAGAAATAGAGTAATAATAGATAAATAAATAATCCACGTAATGATGGGTAATACACAGCGATACTGTATGCTATTGTGTTTTTCAGTTTTTTGATAGCTAAGAAAGGAACAACTGCTAAAGTATACTTGATTATGAATGCTGCTGAATTAATTCAAATTATATCTTTTGAAAATGCCTTGACTTTAAAATTTAAGTATAAGAATATTCTACTTTGTAAAAGTTATTTTATTTCTGTTTCCAAAGAAAATGGAAAGCTGTGGATTCCTTTCAGGCTTCTGTGGTTTGATGAACCAAGTGCCCTGGCAGCAATGGGCCAGGTGTTCCAACAATTAAGACAGTTAAGATGATGAAGACTTACAGACTACAAAAAAAGGACTTGGCCAAGGTTTTTGAGTTTTGTCTTGATCCGATGGTATGAACAGTGCCCCCATCAAGCAGGAAGCAGTTTGGAATGATCGACATACAAATTCCCATATTTTTTGTAAATCTTAGTTTACATTTAAATGAGGTTGCTTATAATTGGTTAATGATCACAAACAATCTCTTTTTAATGGTAAAAAGAGAAATATGGTATGGAAATGAATACTTTGTATTGGTATGGTTTTTCATTTATTGATATAAATTCAAGGTCAGTTTTGTGATATGTATATTTCTCCACTTATTTAAGTATTGTGTTTCTGCTGATCTTTTAAAATGTAATACATAATTAAATACAGATTATAGATAGTTACTTATAATAGTCAGAAATTGTAGTTAGGGAGGTTAGATTTTCTAGATATATAGAGATGTATTTGAGATAGATAGATAGATAATCTTCAAACCTTTCAAAGACATTCAGAAAATGGCATTTAAAATGGTTTAGGGTTTTTCTTGACAATGAGAAATGTCTGCACCTGGCAGCACCAATTACGTCAGAGGGAAAGATGGGCATAGAAGAGACTTGTTATGGAGTTTGCTTTCAACATGGCAATATTAGTCATTTGGGCAAGAAATGCTCTTGCCTGGACTGCTTGACTGTTGCTGTATAAACTGGATATGTAGGACCCACAGGAAAGTGACTACTGAACTCAAACAGTCCTACAGGGTTCCTGCTTCATCGGAGAATCTGCCAGACTTTCCTCAGGACCCAGAAAATGACTGACCGACTGCCATTCCAGATGGACAGCTTAAAATTTCCTGCTTTGCTGAGAAGTCTTCCAGATACACTGTGGCCTATGGGCTGAAGACAGATGCTGCAACATTACAGAGGAACTCCGGGTGACTGTCCAGGTGTCAAGACTTCTCTGTCAGTTCTAGTGTTTATATATTATCCTTCTGTGGTCTTTGATGGAGTTGAAGTCAGATAGTTATAATCATAGTTTTCCTTAGTTATGATAAAAGATAAGTTACATATAAGATTTTAGACTCACAAAGAAAGGATAGATGATACTTTCTTTAAATCGTACTAAATGTTAATGAACAAAATATTGTAACTATGGTCTTACTTGATAACTGTTCTGTTATATACAATTTGACTATGTTAAAGTTAAAACCTTTCTTTTTATTTAGACAGAAAAGAGGAGATGATGGGGAAATCCTGTGTATATGTCAATAAAGCACTGTTGCCCAATAGGGAAGCAAGATAAGTGGGACTAGGAGTTAAGGAGGATTCTGGGAAAGTGAGACAATGTAGCCAGCCAGAGAAGTAAGATGTCCTGACCCTTTTCTCTGGTAAGAGAAATACTTATATTTTCAATTATGCGTTTAGCCAGGAAGAAACAAGCAAATGGTCACCAGCTTCATAATTAATATATCCTCCTGTGTGTTATTTGGGGACTGCAACTGTGGCAGAGCCCAAGTGGCTTGCGGAGAAAATCCAAGACGGCTGGCAGAGAAAAACTACATGTTGCAATCTTGATAAATATGCTCATCACTCCAGGGTTCAATTTGGTTTTTAGCTGTGCATGTCTGCCTCCGCTTCTCTCAGCCAATGGATGAGGATTCTAGTCTGGCATACAAGGTGGTCATCATTCTCATTATCATAGGAGGGCACATAAGGTAGCCTTAATACAAGTTGGTGTCATTCATTTTATCCCCTCAATATATGTTTTTATTTAAATTAGAAACTTGCTTGCTTCACATGTCAACCCCAGCTCCCTCTCTCACCTCTCCTCCCTTGTCCCTCCACCAGCCCGCCCAGCCCCCCAATCCCCACATCATTCCCCTTGGAGGGTGAGGCCCTACTTGTGGGGATCTCTAAAGTCTGTCATTTCATCCATGGTAGGACCTAGGCCCTTTCCCACTTGTCCAGGATGAGAGTGCATCCCTCCATGTGAAATGGGCTCCAAGAATTCATTCATAATTCATAGTAAACACTGATCTACTACTACTCAAGGCCCCAGAGATTTCTGAGGGATTCTCACTGACACTACATTCATGGAGTCTGGATCAGTCCCCTCTGGCCTCTCAGGCATCAGTCTGGGTTTCAAGAGCTCCTCCTTATCTTGTCAGCTGTCGTTGTGGGTTTCACCAGCACAGTCTTGACACCTTTGCTCATCACTCCTCCATCTCTGTCACTGGGTTCCAGGAGTTCAGTTTAGTGTTTAGCTGTGGGTGTCGGTCTCTGCTTCCATCAGTCAGTGGATGAAGGTTCTAGGATGGCATATAAGGTAGTCATCAACCATATCATCAAGGAGGGCCTATTAAGGTAGTCTCTTTGGTATTGCTTAATTTGCCACTTAGTGCTATCCTTGTAGATTTATGGATATCCCAATAGTGTCATCTCTCTCCTCAAACCTATAATGACTCCATCTATTATGTTATCTCTCATGCTGCTCTCTTTTATTCTTACCTCCACTCAACCTTCATGCTCCCGCATGCATTCTTCTAACCTCCTCTTATACCTCTCTCTTTTTCCTGGTTCCTTCTTCCCTCCCCCGATGTTACCAATATGCTCAGAAGATGTTCCCTCATTCCACTTCTCAGGAGTATCAAGCTTATCTCTTGGTAACCTTCCTGTTTCCCAGCCTCACTGGCTCTGTGATTGTAGGCTGACACTCCCCTAATCCATGTGTAAAATCCACATATGAGTGAGTACATACCATGTTTGTCTTTTTGTGACTGGGTTACCTTACTCAGGATGGTTTCTACTAATGCCATCCTGGTGTCATTCTTGTAGATCTGTGAAGGTCTCACTAGTTTCAGATCTCTCCTCCAACTTAAAATGCCTTCCTCTCTTATGATATCTCTCATGCTTCTCTCCTCTACTATTACCCTGGCTCAACCTTTCGCTTTTTCCCTTCTCTTTCTCCCATCTCCTTCTGTGACTTCCCCCAATCCAATCAGGAATATCGTCCTATAACCGTTCTCTGGGTAACCATGCATATCTCTCTTAGGGTCCTCCCTGCTTCCCAGACAATGTGGTGGTGGGATTGTAGGTTAGCAATGCCCTGCTCCATGTATAAAATCCATATATGAGTGAGTACATACCATGTAAGTCTTTTTGGGACTGGGTTACCTCACTTAGGATGCTTTCTTTTAGTGCCATCCATTTGCCTGCAAATTTCAAGATTCCTTTTTTTTTCATGCTGAGTAGTACTCTTTTGTGACAATGTACCTCATTTTCTCTATCCACTCTTCAGTTGAGGGGCATCTCGGTAGCTTCCAAATTCTAGCTATTACAAATAAGGCTGTTATGAACATAGTTGACAGATGTTCTGATTGTATGATTATACATCATTTGGGTATATGCCTAATAGTTGAATTGCTGGATCTTGTGGTAGGATGATTTTCGATTTTCCTGAGGAACATCCATAATGATTTCCAATGTGGCTGTATGAGTTGGCATTCCCAACAGCAGAGGAGGAGTGCTCCCCTTTCTCTACATCCTCTCCAGAATAAACAGTCATTAGTGTTTTTGTTTTTAGCAATTCTGACAAGAGTGAGATGATATCTCAAAGTTGTTTTGATTTGCATTTCC